CTTTGTTGCGGAGCACGGGCTCTAGGTGCGCCGCCTTCAGTAGTTGTGGCTCTCGGGCTTAGTTACTCTGCGGCCTGTGGGATCTTCCCAGACCAGGGATCGAACCTGTGTCCCCTGCATTGGCAGGCAGATTCTTAACCACTGCGCCACCAGGGAAGTCCTGGGAGCCGTTTTCAACACCGACCGTCTGGAAGTTAACTGTCTCTTCCGTAGGAGTACTATGAATTACTGGGAGGCTGGAGTGTAATTCGTATCAAATGAGTGGCTCTCCAGTTTATAATTACTGTTTCTCAGGTAACACAGTGGCCAGATTTGTTCTTGAGGTCCCTGTGTCCTTGGCCGTAGCTGATCCTAAGGCAGTTGCTTCCAGACTTGAGCGTGCATCAGAATCTCCTTGTTAACATACGGATTGCTAGGTGCCAGCCCCAGACTTTTTGGTCCAGTAGGTCTAGGGTGGGGCATGAGAATTTGCAATTCAGAAAGTTCCCAAGTATGCTGCTGCTCTGGGAGCGCACGCTGAAAACCAATGATTTATGGCATAGGCAACTGTGAGCTAGCTCGGTGTTCTTCCTTCCAGTGCACCCATCTCCCCTCAACCTTTCTTGTATGTTTGCTGGGTGTAGTTTCTATTACACACAAATAAAATAATTTTAATGAATACCGGAGGGGGGTGTGTCTTTATCCTGGAGAAGAGAGGAATCAAAGTGTAAAGGGGAAATGAAGGTGTTCTCTAATATCTGAAGATTTACTGTGTCAAAACAAGAATGCGAGACGGATCTTACCAAGTTGGCTGTTTTGCCTCAAACTAAGTAAAACATTTTTAACTATTTAAATTGTCTGAGAATGGGCAGCCTTCGGTTAAAGATGATAAATTGAACATACTCATTTATCCCTGTCTCTCCCAAAACACCAATAAAATGACAGTAACTGAAATTTAGCATAATGCATGGCATAAACTCAAGGACAAAAAGAAGGGAAGAAGGGATGATAAGGATACTGAAAGCTGGAAAGCAGATGGACAACTGGTCCAATTGGTATTAGCAGACCTGAGAAGTTCTGGAGAACAAAGAGAGCAAAGAAATTTATATCCTAGAGCCTTAGATAGGTTCTGGATTCTGGAACTTCTGAACAGGGCAAAGTTGGGCCTTCCAAGAGGAGGACTGGTTGAAAATCTGTAAAAGCAAAGGGTCCTTTAGATCGCCCCAAGCAACTGCATGAGGTGTCATCTTCTCCTATGCCCTGGTATGTGGCTGGAAGTTTACTCTTGATGGGAATGAACCAGAGGGGCTCTGGACTAGTGGATGCCAGGTACAGTGGTAAGGATTATCTTACAGAAAATGTGTGGTGGTGGGAATTAAATGAGAATGAACACATGGAACTTTATACCCCAGTCTTCTTTCCATACTGAGCTCCCAGAATCTTGACCTTCATGCGGGTGCCTTCCACATATTAGTATGGTGTTGGGATTTAGAAGGTACTCAACAACAGGTAGCTATTACACAAAAAGATTGGGAAAGGAGAGGAGGGGGCTTGTGGTGCAGGGGAGGCCTGCTGAAGCTGTCTAAACTGAGTTTAAGTGAATAGTATTTACTGAGCAGCTATTCTGTGCCAAATAGCAAGCTGTAAGCTCCAATGATTCAGTAGTGAGTAAGATTCAGTGTGCCCATCTGTCAGTGAACCAGATAGGAGGATTGGGGGAAGGAACAGCATGTATAGAGGCAGACAATAGTGAAACAGCATGCTGAGTTCATGGAACCACAGGCAGTTCAGTATTGTTGGCATGGAAAGTGTAGACACACAGGGAGCGTGGGAGGAGGAGAAGCCAAAGAGATGCTATTGGATTTATGTCTCTCTCTCTGTTTGCATGAGTTCTCTCAAAATGCATATTATTTTATATGCATGTATTTTGAATCTTCATAAATGTATCCATTCTGGTTTTCCCTTTCTTCTCATCAAGGGCAATGTTTTTAAGATCCATCAGTGTTGCTATAACAATAACCTAAACCATTCCTATGAACTCTTGTCTGATATTTCATGGTTTTTTGTTTTTTTTTGAAAGGAAGGTTGTTGTTGTTTTTTTTTAATAAAGTTATTTATTTATTTTTGGCTGTGTTGGGTCTTCGTTTCTGTGCGAGGGCTTTCTCTAGTTGTGGCAAGTGGGGGCCTCTCTTCATCGCGGTGTGTGGGCCTTTCAGTGTCGTGGCCTCTCTTGTTGCGGGGCACAGGCTCCAGACGCACAGGCTCAGTAGTTGTGGCTCACGGGCCTAGTTGCTCCGCGGCATGTGGGATCTTCCCAGACGAGGGCTCGAACCCGTGTCCCCTGCATTGGCAGGCAGATTCTCAACCACTGCGCCACCAGGGAAGCCCTTCATGGTATTTTATGCTGTGTCTCTACCTACTTTTACCTACTCATTTTCCCAGGAATGAGCATCAGAATTATTTTCCACCCCATCTTCCCATTTGCTCCAAGAAAGAAATACAACAATAAACATCTCCAGGTGTGTCCTCTGATGAAGCTTTGTGAGAATTTCTTGTGCTTTACACCCTGGAGGGAGATTGTCGGGTATGTGTAGATATATACCCAACAATCTACACATAGAGTAAGGAGTGGGGGTAAGTGTTGCTAGTTTGCCTTCCAGGATGTCCTCCCACTGGGCCATTAGTTCCCACATCACTACTAGTTCGGTTTTGTGTTTTGTTTTTCTTTCACCTGCAAAAGTTTCCTTGAGCCTCTTTGGGTAATTATTACTATTATTGATTGTTTTGTAAGAACAGTTAACATGGGTCCTACCTTCCTAACAAATCTTTAAATATACAATACTGTATTGTTGATTATAGGCACTGTCTGTACAGCAGAGCTCCAGAACATATTCATCTTGCATAACTGAACTTTATCCCCATTGAGCAACTCCCCATTTTCCACTCTCCCTAGCCTCTGGCAACCATCATTCTATTCTCTACTTCTATGAGTTGGACTTTTTTTTTTTTTTTTGGCCACACTGCGTGGCTTGTGACATCTTAGTTCACCGACCAGGTATTGAACCCACACCCTTGACAGTGAAAGCGTGGAGTCCTAACCACTGGGCCACCAGGGAATTCCCTGAGTTTGACTATTTTAGGTACCTCATATAAGTAGGATCATGCAGTATTTGTTCTTCTGTGGCTGGCTTATGTCATTTAGCATAATGTCCTCCAGCTTCATCCATGTTGTCATATATGGCAGGATTTCCTTCTTTTTTAAGGCTGAATAATATTCTATTGTATGTATATACCACGTTTTCTTTATCTGTTCATGTGTCAATGGGCTTTCAGGTTGTCTCCATACCTTAGTTACTGTGAATAGTGTTGTATTGAACATGGGAGTGCAGATATCTCTTCAAGATTCTGATTTCAGTTCTTTGGGATATATACCCAGAAGTGGGATTCCTGGATCCTATGGTAACTATATTTTTAATTTTTTGAGGAACCTCCATCTTGTTTTCCATAGCGGCTGCACCATTTTGCATTCCCATCAACAATGTATAGGGTTCCAATTTCTCCACAACCTCACCAACCAAGTTTATGACACAGTATTTTTCTTTTTTTTTTTTTATTGTTTTTGCTAGTGCAAAATGCTTATAATTTGTCCTAGGTTCAAAATGTCATTTGCATTTCTCTAATTGCTGATGATTTTGCACATCTCTTTAAAGCTTGTTAGCTTTTGAGGCTTCCTCTTCTGAAGTTGACTCTTTGTATCCTGTTACCATATTTCTATTGGGGCGGCTTTCCGTTTCTTATTGATTTGCATGATTTTCTGTTATATTTTAGATCTGGATCTCTTGTTGGCCGCTTATCTTAGAGCTGAGGAGTGCCCTTCAATTGCAAGTCTAGCCTCAAGATGTAGCCATAGAGTCTCAGAAAGAGAAAAATGACCTTGGGACTTGAGATGGAATAAATTGGCAGTGATCCTTTGTGTGACATATACTTTCTTATGACCCCAGGGACTACTGGGGTTATCTTGTCGTTAAATGTCCTATTATCGGACTTCATTCACAGACTTCCCCCTTCATTACTTCCTTCAGTTATAGGCACCATATATTACTATCATTATCGTATTACTTTTATTACACCGATGAAAAATGTTTTGCTGCTGATGTAAAATACTCAAACTGATAACAAAATTATTAAAAACTACCCACAGCTCTGCCACCTAGAAATGACTACAGTTATTCTTTTAGGATGTGTTCCAATCCCTGGACGGGAATGGCTGAGAAGATGTAAGCATTATTATGACAAATGGTCCTCCCTTCCACCCCAGGGCTCTATATTAATCTCTCTTGTAGAACCTTCTACATCTTACTGTAGTTAATTGTTCAGGGATTATTAGAACAAGAGTCAGTTGACTTATGTTTTAGCTCCAACTTGGATTTATCAAAGCTTCCCTTTTTTAAGAAAAGACCTTGGACATCAGGCTGGGGGTTTGGACTTTCTTCTGTAAGTGATTGGGAGCCATTGAAGGATTTGAGGTAGCGACTCATCCAAAATGGTTTTGGTAAAGGAAGTTCTTCCTGGAAGCAATGATACATGAATGTAATTGAATCAAAGTTACATTTATCAAGTACCGGGTATTGTGCTCAAGGTATTATCTATGGTATTTCACTAGATCCTTTTAGTACAATAGTATAGGGATGATCACCTCCAAGTTAGAGGTAAGAAATTTGAAACTCAGTGGGGCTAAGCAATGTGCTCAAGGACACACAGCTGGTGTTGGATTATGGTGTTAAATCCAGCACGTTCAGCTAACCAGTTTCTTTCCAGGTACAGATGCTGGTATGAAAGATATTTTAGCAGTCTAGGTGGGATCAATTCCCATTTAATAGTGAGAAGTTCAAGTGCCTAGCAAGCTACTTTCTTAGAGCAGCAGCTTTGTTAATTGCTGGCTGTCCCCAGGGGTTTTTCTCTATGACTCACCCAGCAGGGGAATCCTGAGGGAAGCTCAGCTTTTACTTCTTGAATTGCAGAGTCCTGACAAACTGTGTGGTGATTGGAGATAGATATCTGAGTCCCTGCCAGCAAAGAGATTGAAGCAGGCATCTTGGGTAAGTCCCTTCTCTCTGGACCTCAGTTTTCTTAACCACAAAGGATTAAATGATCTCTGAAGTTTTCTTTCCTTCTAACACTCAGAGATCTCTCATGGTGCGTAATGTAGTGCTGAGCTCTATGTGGAGCTTAGTAATGGTGATTCGTAGGAACTAAACCAGCAAAATATAATTACACACAAAACTGGTTGAAAATAGGCTGTAGGCAGGGAATAGAAGATACGTGTTCTTAGTTCATGTGGGAGGGACTGTATGTAAGTTCATTCTTAGAGTCTGTTACTAGTGCCTTATATATTGGTGGCCAGACGGTTTTGTTGAAGGAAAGAATGAGCAATACAGAAAGGCTATTTGTCCCCTAATATCTGTCCTCCACCTTCTCCTTCAATAATGCAGCACCTGAAAATTACCTGGAAACCGTAGCCCGGGACAAAACCTCATTCCCCAGACTTCCTTGTAGTTAGACATGGCCATGTTATTAAATTCTGACCGTAGGGTATAAATGGGACTAGTGTTGACATTTTTTCAGGAAATATTTTTAAAGGGAGGGGCGTGATTTTCTCCTCTGTTTCTCCTCCTGGCTGGCTAAAATAAAATAGATAAATGGGTAAGATATATGGAGCTTGGATCACAAGCTGGAAGCCACAAAGCAGTAAGAGGGATGGAGTCTGCGTACCTGATGATATCCAAGCCTCTGTATAAACCTTGAACTGCTATGTTAACATGAGAGAGAAATAGATTTCTATTTTGTTTAAAACATTATTGTTATTGTTTTACTATATGTTGCAGTTGAACCAGACACAAGGGAACATTTTTTTAAAAGAAACACATGATTTTCATCATTTTTATTTCAAAGAACAGCTGATAAAAAAATATTTGGAACACGGTTGTCATAAACCACACAATCACACGTGGCAGATCTGATTTGGGGGATGGCTGGGGGGTGCCTGCCCAGCTGGCCAATAGTTAAGTGTTATCAGGGCCAGTAATTTTTGTATAAATACATACAGGTTTTGCTAGGGCAATAACTTGAATATTTTACACTAAGTTCTTAAACTAATCCTTTTATTTTCACGGAAAACTTTTATATTTCTGTTCTTTATGTGAGGTTGTTAATACAAAAGCAATTTATTTTTGTGAATGGAGTGAAGTAGAGGAAAAAAATAAAGGTTCCAAACCATTTATTTCATAGGATGTATGTTTGCCACTGACTTAAAAAACACATTTGTCATATATTAAATTCATATGTATACAGAAACATTTGAAGGATAATGACAAGGAATTTTACAAATTTGATTAAAAAATATAAATCCACAGATCCAAGATGTTCATCAAATCTCAAGCTGGAAAAACACAAAGAAAAACACACAAAAAGAGTATTAATTAAATTAATTAAATTTCTGAAAACAAGAGATGAAGAGAAAAATCTTAAAAACAGCCAGAAAAAGTTATGTATACAGGAGTAAATGTATTAATCCAGTTTCTCATCAAAGACTATGCATGCCAGAGACTTCCCTGGTGGCGCAGTGGTTAAGAATCTGCCTGCAGGGGACACGGGTTTGATCCCTGGTCCGGGAAGATTCCCGCGGAGCAGCTAAGCCCGTGCACCACAACTACTGAGCCTGCGTGCCACAACTACTGAAGCCCGCGCGCCTAGAGCCCAACCTCTGCCACAAGAGAAGCCACCGCAATGAGAAGCCCACGCACGGCAATGAAGAGTAGCCCCTGCTGGTGGCAACTGGAGAAAGCCCACGCAGCAACTAAGACCAAACCACGAAGACACAATGCAGCCAAAAATAAATTTAAAAAAAAGACTATGCATGCCAGAAGAATAGAAAAACGTCTTCAAGGTGCTGAAAGAAAAAAGAAACTGTAAAACTAGATTTATATATATGATGAAAATATTCTTCAATATTGAAAACAGAACAAAGACTTTTTCAGAAAAAAAAATAATTTTTGGCTAGCAGACCTGGATTACAAGAAATGTTAAAAAAGAAGTTCTTTACATGGAAGGAAAATAAATGATGAAAATTTGGATCTACAGAGAGAAATGAAAAGCTCCAGAAATGGTAAATGTAACATAATTTTTTAATTTAAGTATATTACGTTTCTGTAAAAATGATTGATTACTGAAAGCAAAATCAAACCAATATATTGTGGATTTTAATCTATGTGAGAATAAATTTTATGATAAAATTTATCAAAGTACATGAGGAGGTGAATGGAAGTATACTATTACAAGGTTTTTAATTTATATGTGAAGTAGTATAATATTAATTGAAGGTAGATTGTGATAAGTTAGAGACGCATATTGTGAACCCTAGTGAACAAACAAATAAACAAAGAAGTATTGCTTATAACCCAATAGTGGAATTAAACTAGAAAGATAAAAAATATTCAATTAATCCAAAAGAAGACAGGGAAAAAGAAAAGAGGGAACAAAGAACATTTGGGCCAAATTCAAAACAAATAACAAGAAGGTAAATTTACCTAATTATATTATTAATTATATTGAATATAAATGGTAAACATTCCCATTAAAAGGCAGAAATCAGTCCAGACTGGATAAAAATGCAAGACCGACTGTGTGCTGCTTATAAGGAAATCACTTTAAACACAAAGACACGGATAAGTTAGAATTCAAAGTATTGAAAAAGATGTGATGTGCACATACTAATCATAAGAAAGAAGAATTGGCTACATTAATATCAGACAAAGTAGAATTCAAAACAAAGAATATTATCAAGACTAACGACGGACGCTTTATAGGAACATGAGGGCAATTCATCAAGAAGACATAATCCTAAACTACCCAATTAAGAGAGTTTTAAAATACATGACTCAAAAATGGACAGAACAGAAAGAATTAGATAAATCCACAATTATATTTGGAGACTTTAACATTGCTCTTCCTACAAAGAGCTCTTCATGCTCTTCCTATGAAATTAGACAGAAAATTACTAAAGGTATAGAAGAATTGAACACATCAACAAAATTGACCTAAATGACATTTATAGAACACTCTACCCACGACAGCAGAACACACATTCTTTTCAGAACTCATGGCACATTCACCAAGATAGACTTGACTGTATGCTGAACCATGAAACAGTTCTCAATAAATTTAAAAGTACTGAAATCATGCAGAGTATATTATTTGACAATAGCAGAACTAAATTAGAAATCAGTAACAAAATGGTAATTTCTGAATATTTGGAAATTAAACAACATACTTCTAAATAATCCATAGGTCCAAAAAGATAAAATGAAGTAAACTAGACAGGATTTGAACTGGAACATAGAGGGAAATTTTACCTTTATGTACTTACATTAGAAAATTAAAAGGATTAAAAATTAATGATGTAATCTTTCACCTCTAAGCACTGTGTCATCTGTTTCTTAGAAATTTTCATATGTTGTACTATTGTCATTCCATTCAAAATGTTTTCTAGTTTCCCTTGTATTGTCAACACAATATTACATGCTGTGGGAAGTGACAGATCAGTGTCACCTTAAAGACCTAGGACATAGGGTTGGTTGTCCTTATCGCCATTAATTCATCAGTGTGGCCCCTACAAAGTTCAGATGGTTCCTGGAGGATGATCGAGTCTACTGCAAACTCAACCTAGATGGAACTCTACTTGCAGCTGTTATACAAGATGTGGCACCTTTAATAGGGTCATTAACAGGGTCTTAGATACATGGAATGTGGCCACTTGTATGACAAATGTGTTCTTTCCACCCCTATCAGAAAAGGGAGTGAGATACAGTTTGTATTCACTTAGAACATACAGTAGTATACATTAGTCATGCCCCAGGGCTATGTTAGCTGTCTTTCCCTCTGTCATAATATATTCCGAGGAAACCTGAACTGTCTGAACATTAGGAAGAATATCACACTTATATTCATGATGTCGTGATAATTGGACCATATATGTAAGAACTGTCAAGTACGTTAGAGGTGTTAACAACACATACACACTCTTCCTAGGGGACAGGAGATAAACCCTAGGAAGATTCACTTTGAAGGGGCAGTGATTCCTTTTGACAGGAATAGGTACATAGGTCAGGTGTGGCTTTGCCTTTCTTGCCTGCAGGGCCTCACCTGGTATCACTATCTGGGAGCTTTAAGACTGTACCATTCACTGCCAGTGGATCCCACGTAACAGTGTGTCAGACTGGGGGTGGGGGGACCCACTTTACAGTTAAAGAGGCTTTAGAGATTCACTTATCATATCACATTCCACTCATCCAGAAATTGCCAACCTAACAGAGTGATGGAATGGCTTGTTGAAGACACAGCTGAGGCACTAGTGTTAGAATGATGTGTCATCTTCCAGGATGCAGTGTATATTCTAAATCAGTGATCTTTGTATGTCACTGTGCCCTCAAAAGGTAGAACATATGGACTGGTAACCAAGGGAGGTAGCAGTGAGAGTATCCTCACTGGGAGAATTTATGCATCCGTTATGGAAAATCTGAACACTGAGTGTTTGGAGGTCTTGGTTAACAAAAGGGAATACTTTCAAGGGAACATGGAGAGAGACCATTGAAATATAGTTTATTACTGTTTCCAGGGAGCTTTGGGCTCCTTGTCCCAGGGGGAACATCATGCAAGAAGAGGAGTCACCATCCGGATGAAGATAATTATTTCTGATACGGAGGAGAAAGTGCTCAGTAACGGTAAGAAGTAATGTTTGGCCTCCAGGTGATCCACTTTGGCATTCTGCTGGTGTTCTTCTACCCCATCTTTTTTTTTTTTTTTTTTTTTTTTGTGGTACGCGGGCCTCTCACCGCTGTGGCCTCTCCCACCGCGGAGCACAGGCTCCGGACGCACAGGCTCAGCGGCCATGGCTCATGGGCCCAGCCGCTCCGCGGCATGTGGGATCCTCCCAGACCGGGGCACGAACCCATGTCCCCTGCATTGGCAGGCGGACTCTCAACCACTGCGCCACCAGGGAAGCCCTCTTCTATCCCATCTTGATAGTAAATGGACAAATGCAGCAGCCACAGTCTAAGGAGGGCAGGTGACCATGGCCTCAGACTCTTCCAGGATGAATGGGTGAATGGGTCATGCCATTAACTTCTAGCTGAGGGTGAGGGAAAATCTAGAATGCATAGTGGAGCAGTGAATGATGACTGACTTAAAGCCCCAAGACAAATAGCAGTATGGTCGGGGCTGTAGTTTCCCTATGAACCTTTTAGAATCCTGAAGGAATGTTTCCAGAACTAATATGAAGAAGTGGGTCCAAGCAGCACAGGCAGTGGACTCCAGTGGATGCTGTGATATGCTGCCCTGATAATTATGGAGGCACCATCCCAGCCCTGGAAAGAGAACTAACACATAACCTTGCTTGTACCATTGCCAATTTGGGTCTATGTTACATCAGCCAAACCTATACTCTGTCTATCTAGTGCAGTCCTAAAGCAGGTAATACCATTGTCATGTTGGGGCACGTAGGGTTGTTTAGAGGACACCAGGCTGTGAGGCTAGAGCTTTGCCATTATGAGTGAAGCTCTGCCTAGAGACTCAGAACTTCTCCTCTGTCTCCCCAGCTACCTGTCTCTGCAGATGCATTCCTGTGACTCAGGGCTCACCCCATAGTTTTCACCTAGTGGTTTGGCAGACATAGCTCACTGTGGAGAAGAAGGTGGAAAAGAACACATGGAGATTTTTCCCTAAAGGTTTCAGGTTTCAGTTTGAAAACAATTAGTCTTCCCCCCCCCCCCCCCCCCGCCGCCCCTTTTTGAGAAGGTTTGAAATAATCTCTCAATCAGTTAATCCAGAATTGAATTGCTTTGTGACTCACATAGTTAATTTCACATCATTAAATGCCTCTTTGGAAATTTGAAGCTTTTCATTATGCCTCTGGTGGAAAGTAGGGAAATGGCAAGATAGTTCATAAGGAAATTCCAAGGGATGCCTCGGTTTCTAAATCCTCACCTGTCCTTCTAGAGCAAAGAAGGTCATTATTTGAATAAGTCACATCAAGTCAGGGTTAAATTTTTCACTTGTAAAATGAGACACTTATTCTTAGGGCAAAAATGATCATCTCCAGTCACACAGAGAAGTTGAGTGAATTGGCAAAGATTACACAGATAGTATGTGACAGAGATGTAGCTTGAGCAAAAGTCTGTTGAGACTGAGTCCAATGGTCTGTCTCAGATCCATTCAGGGAGGCTGCCTGTAGCTGAGAGAAGCCAGAGGAGCTCGCCGTGAAGGCACTTGACTGGAGCGACGGGTGGCTGGATGAAGGCAGACTTGAGATGGTGCTGCACTGTGGGGGAGCTTCAGAGCAGAGCTTGAGATGGTCCAGAGTTGGACTTGAAAAACCAAGGGCTAGAACCTTCAAATAGGAATCAAATAAGAACCAGAGAATTGCCTTAAAAAGGTTCATGTCCTTTAGGCAAACAATTCTCTTCTTGGGCTTCATCTGAAGGAATGAATGAATGAGCACCTGTCTCCACAGGAAGAGCCAGAGAAGAATTCCTTGTAGTGTCAATGCAGTGGAAACAGCCTAGATGACAATCATATAGTGGAATATTGTGTGTCCAAAAAAAGTGATGGTGGGTTGCTCTTAATTTTTGGCTCATGGACGCTTTTGAGTCTCCAAGAACCATAGATCTTCTCCCCATAAAAAGCCATATATGCACATACACATAAACGTCAACTTTCAATTTTAGAAATCTCAATTTTCCGAAAGTCAGTCCATGGAACATTATGTTAAGAATCCCTATGTTAGATGTATCTTTAATAACCTGGAAAGGTACTTGTGCACAGCATAATTTTTGCATGAAAAAACAGTTTACGAAATGGCATGTGTGAGATGACAAAATTTCATTTAAAAAATGTAAGTATCCTTCCAGCTATGCAGAAAAAAATCTGGAAGTTGGCAGTTGTGCAAGTAGAGTGCACAGGACAGAGCTCAGAGCTGTGAGGACTCTGGAGTTGGCCAGGTGTGTGGCAAATGTACCCAAGGGCCCCATCTAATGTTGAGGCAGGTCTAGGAGCCTGGCCCTGCCTGATCTGAGGGCCCCTATCCCTGCTCTTGTAGGGGAGTGCAGTCCTGAATATTTACATGAGCACTTCTTCCTCCAGGTGCCAGTTCTTGAGAACCTGCAGGGCTCTCCTGAAAGTATGACATTGTGTCCCAGTTGTCAGACTGACCTTGGGAAATGGGAGCGTATACAAGGGAGGGGGACAAAGATGGAGAGGGAGCCAGGGTCCATGTGAAGGAAGGATTCTAGGAGAAGGAAGTGAAAGATTCTAGGAGTCTCGGTGGAGAAGAGATGAATAGGATGGGCAAGGTCATTGTCTTCATGCATTTGAAGGCTGTCAAAGAGGGGATACAGTTTTTGTACAGTAAATTCAGTACAGTAATTCAGTAATAATGTATATTATGCACAGTGGCCTAGGCCTTGTGCTAAAAGCTGGAGAAATAGATGATGAAGTTTCTTTTACGTAGTAGGGGAAGGTTGAGGATTTAACAAAACATTCCAATATGGTCTGCTATGTGCTATATAATAAAGATATGTAGGAGAGCTCCAGGAAAACAAAGGAGCAATTGAACTACTCTACCTGGGGAAGTTGCAGTGGATTTTAGAGATGAACAGAACTTTTCCAGGTTTAGAAACATGACAAAGAGAATTCCAGGCAGGAAAAACAACATATACAAAGGCCAGAGGCATGAAAACTAGAGTGTGTAGGGGAGAGAAGAGGGAGGGAAGGCTAGAGATTTAGGTGGCTTCCAAAGAGTGAAGAATCTCAAATTCTATGCTAAAACATTTGAACCTGTGCCATGGGAGCCATAAAAAGTATCACCTCTCCCTCATCCTGTGATGGAACCAGGTCCAATGATGGCAGGTACAGCGGGTCAGAATTGCCTTGGCAAAGAATGACTCTCCATTAGGCAGAGGCTGGTCAGGCCCTTCTTGGAGGTGGATCAAAGAGTGACAACTACTGAATGGGGCATTTGATAGGACTTTATGATCTCTTCCACCCCTGGCCTCAGCTTTTCAGGGAGGTATATTTATGTATCTTGCTCTGTGAAAAAAATGTCTTGGAGGTATTATATATTTTTGTTTTCTAATTCAGTAAACTTTTTATTGTCTTAAGAGCTGGTGCCAGAATTCATCTATCAAGGGATTCTTCTGATTTGGAAAGCTCACATGTCAAGTCACTCTGAGTGGCAGGTAAGACTCCAAGAGGGTTGGTAAGAGCTCAAGCAAAAGAAAAACGGGCTAAGCTGTCCAACTTGGGAACCTAAGAGGAATTTAGAGATATGTCTCTATCTCTGTGTCAGTGAGGAAAAGGAGAAATCAGGGACATATAAGGGAGCCAGGGGTGGCGGGAAGGAGGGACTAGAGAGCTGGTCAGTGACTGAGGACTACATGGGGTAAAGGCAGAGCCACTGTATGCAGGTTCTGAAAGTTGCCATTGCTCAGGTTGGCTGGCTGAGGGGCCAGGTTAGGGCTGCAATGAAACCAGTGCTTTGCTCTCCAAGTCCCTTGGTCTATGAGTACGTGGACGGAGTGCCTCTACCACTTCCAGGTGACCCTGGGAAAAACATCCCATGGGAATTCCCTTGTGGCAGGGTGGCCAGAGGAAAGTTTCACAAGGAAGATCTTTAATGTCCAATTTGAAGTTGTTGGTATGTAACCCCTTTCCTATCTCCTATGTAAATCTTCAAGTAAGTATACTATACTTATCAGCTCTTTGTGCAAGATGCCACACGTGTGTGAAAGTGTATGTAGGAATTGAGGAAGGGCTGGATTTCTTGTCTGGTCTGTAGCAATGTGGAATAAACAGCACTTGAAGAATGAGGAACCCAGATTTGGAGGCATCAGAATGCAGTCCCTCCCTGGAAATCTGCAGAAATCTTACAGGCTTTGCTTTTCCATGGAGCATGAAGTTAGTGATTTGAGTCAGCTTTATCTGGATTTTAAAGGGCTGGAGGAAGCAAGTGACATTAGGATTATATTTTATTGTTTTGGTGCCACCAGCAAGATGACCTTGATACTTTTATTTTATGACTGTCTGTCTCTTGCTCAAGTAAACTGCTATTGCATCATGGGTAGTTTACACAGCTCACTGGAGTTTTATGGAAGCTGTTTAAAACACCGATTATGTGGGCAAATGGAGATTCTGATCTCCAGGATTCAAAGGAGAATAGTTAATTTATGCAATAGATCTTCTGGAATGTATTTTTATAGACTAATTGGATGAGCTCGCTGAGCGCAATGCATGGTATGGCAGAGTAAACAATTAGATGTCCTAAGTTCAAGACCCAGCTCTCATGCTACATTGCTGTGTGAGTTTGGGTACCCCCCGTCCTCTCTAATTGTCCCGTAATATTAGAATGTTAAACAGAAATGGTGCTTCACTGCAATGCTGAACCATTATAAAGGATTACTAACAATATGTACGATATTGTTCTAAGCCACTTTTTAAGTTGACTGCTTTCCAGAGGGTCCTCATGTTTCCTGTCCTTGCTTTCCTGTCTCCTGGTCCCTGCTTCTGCCCTCCTTCTTCGTATGTCCTGAGTGAACCTTTATTTATTTATTTTTTATTTATTATTTTTTTTTGCGGTACGCGGGCCTCTCACTGCCGCGGCCTCTCCCGTTGCGGAGCACAGGCTCCGGACGCGCAGGCTCAGCGGCCATGGCTCACGGGCCCAGCCGCTCTGCGGCATGTGGGATCTTCCCGGACCGGGGCACGAACCCGCATCCCCTGCATCGGCAGGCGGACTGTCAACCACTGCGCCACCAGGGAAGCCCTGAACCTTTATTTTTTTATAGTTCAGGGTTCCTTAACCTCTGCACACTTGATATCGTGGGCTGGAAAGTCCTTTGTTGCAGGCGGGGGCTGGGCTGTCCTGTGCTTTGCAAGATGCTGAGCAACGTCCTTGTCCTCTCCTCATTAGATGCCAATGGCACTATTCTCCCACTTGAGATGGCCAAAAATGTCTCCAGACATTGCCAAATGTCCCTCTGGGAGCTAAACCATACACTCCCTCCTCCAGTTTGGTGAATATCCAAGTTTGATGATTATTAAATTATTGTTGCCAGTGAGAAGTAGAAATTGAGGATTCTTCCTGATTTCCACCCCCCTCCTTTCACACACACACACACATACACACACGCACCACTCAAACACGTCTTCATCCTCTCATATTAATGCAGATAATTAATTCTCTAAGGCAGCCCACTGTGGGATTATTCCCATCATGGGAGCAGGGCTCGGTGAGGATGGAGAGCAGTCTTTCCTCTCTTGGTTCATCCTCTGGTTTCCCGGGTAGATGGAGGTACCTGCACTTCTAGAGCTCAGTGATCAGGACTTGAAGCTGAGGCCCAACGTGACTTCACAATTTGTTCCAGACTTTACAAATTTTTCCCCAGAAGGATAAAGCTGCAAACCAGTAAATAACCTCATTTAACCTCAGGCAGCTCATAAAAACCATTTATTCTGCTCAGGCTGATTGAATGCTCACCTGGGCAAATATCGCCTTTCTCAGGACAGTAGATTACTCAACAGGGCAAACACTCTTGCTCATCAAACAACTGTTTACTCATGAACACACCCTTCAGGACTTTCCTATCCTACACTGTTGACTACACCCTTGACCTCCCCTTTCTGAGATACACTAAAACCCTCTCAAGGTGATGTTCTCCCTTATGTGACGAGTAAAAACTCAACTTTGCCTGATAAGTGGAGGTCTCTTTGGGGGAACTGGCAGTCCCCCAGAACCTGTCTACTTTTAAAGAAAGGGGTACCATCATAAAGCATGGACCCAGTGATGCTTACGAAAAGACCAGGAGGAAATTTTGAAACAGCAGCTTTTCGGCATCTTTGGCCAGATAAGATTCCTGGTCATGGTGTCCCCACACTGCACTCTATAAGTAGAAAGGAGATAATAGTAGGGTTTATGATTCTCCTGCCCACAGAGTGTGAGTGTAAGTGGAATAGAGTCAGGGTCACAAGTTTTGTTTTGTTTTGTTTTTTGCGGTACGCGGGCCTCTCACTGTTGTGGCCTCCTGTTGCGGAGCACAGGCTCCGGACGCGCAGGCTCAGCGGCCATGACTCACGGGCCCAGCCGCTCCGCAGCATGTGGGATCTTCCTGGACCGGGGCACGAACCCGTGTCCCCTGCATCGGCAGGCGGACTCTCAACCACTGCGCCACCAGGGAAGCCCAGGGCCACAAGTTTCATAAGCAGAGAAAAGAAGGAAAGCACAGAAACACACATACACACAAACACACATACATACTTTGGAATTATGGAATATTTCGTTTTTATACTTTTCCATATTTAACATGTTTTTCTTAATGAAGATGTCTTCCTGTTCATCAGAATACTTGCTGTTTTAATTTTAGATGAAATAATAAGTTAATATAATTCTCTCTTAGCATATACTGGGATATCCAGGATCTTGGCTTCAAAAACTACTACAGAGCTGGGAGTGTATCATTTGTAGCAAGTGTTAACATGAAGTATGAATGAAAAGAATTGTGATTACTTCTCCTTTTTTTTCCCTTTGTATTTCTTTAACAATCTCATGGCTACTCATAAATGCACTTAGCAGTGAGATGGGATGGGTAACCTGTGGGGCATATGACGGGACACAATGACCAGGCACTAAAATAAGTCATACTGCTGATACCCAGAGACATGGATGGATATAAAAACTGAGGATACCCTTGACCCAATATGTCTCTATAAAGATGAACCCTCTGGGTTTGGCTTCACTTCTACTACTTAATAATTTTGTAACCGTGAGCAAAATGCTTCACTTTTTAGCTACAGTTTCTTTACCTGCTAAGGTGAGATACCTGTACCTGCCCAGTGAGCCTCATGAGTTTTTTGTAAAGACCAAAAGAGATAATGGATATATGCATGTTTAGGAGACAGTTCAAATACATGGTATTATGAGAATACCTCTCAATTTTTCAAACTGATATTAGCATCTATTAACATAAACTCCCACACCCAATTAGAATGCTGGAGGTATTCAGCTCGGTGGGATTGCCTGCGGCAGAGATATAGGCGTTTGGGGATCTCCACCTTATCTTAGAGTACCATGGCCTCGCACAGCACCAGGGACCTGGCTGGAGACCCCAACTTGCAGCCTAGTTCCCCCAGGGCTGCGTGGGTGATAGGTACACTCGCTGAGAGCATCCCTTGGGGGAACGTGTAGGAATGCTTGCCACAGCTCCTCACCATCCCTCATGCCTAGCCTGTAATCCACAAATTGGATTTTCCAGGGTGGAGTCAGAGAAATGCAGGAATGAGGGAGGAACAGATGGATAAACACATCTCCTGCATCCACTATTTACTGTGTTCCCACCACCTTCTAGTAAGTGTTATCTCATAAAATACCCAGAACTGATATTACTAGTATAAAGTCTGTGTGATTGTACCCATGACAAGCTTCAAGAGTTTACGTATTTTGCCCCAGGTCACAGAGCTCATCAATAGCAGAGCAAGAATTCGCATTCACCTGCATAAATTCCATTCTGCCTTACTCCATCTGAGCAAGGAAAGCCTTCTGGGATTTGTAGATTAGCCCCGTCGGGTAGGACAGCATCAGTACTAGAAGTGAGTTCCCTTAATATCAGACAGTTCCTAGAGCTAAATGCTTTCAGCTTTTTTTTTCCTCTGCCACTTCCATATTTTGATTCCAAGGATCAAATAATCTAAGAATGTCGTAATCCAATGTTAATTCAATGAGACATGCATGAAATTCACAAAAATAGGTAAATATTCTTTTCTTTTTTTTATTTTTTAAGGCTATCTTTGGGTGGTGGGTGAGGATGGCTTTAGGCAATGGCTTCCCAATTTTTTTGACTTTCGAAATATGAACTGGGGAAAGTACGTGAAAATAGAGTTTGATAGACTGGAGAAAAGGTTTTTCTAAAATCCCTACGACCTGTGATGGATATGAATAAGGTCACACTCATTATTGCTTGTTAGCCTACATTCCCACTAGAAGGAAAGGAAGTATTTCCTTTTCATTTTAATACTCTTGCCACTTCTCCAGATTTTCTAGGAACCTTAGATACTTACTCAGTTCGAGGAGAATCAGTTCTTTTCTAAATTTCAAGCCCAGAGAGAAAACTGTGTTCTGAGCACCTGCTTCTTCCTGCCACACAGTGAAGCTGTTGTAGATCAGTCCTGCAGAGCCCTGTGGCTAGTT